AAAAAAAAAATAGTGATTTTGAAGAGTTGGAAAACAATTTATGTATAGCTTGACATGACAATTTATATGATCCCTGCTGATTACATTCAAGGTCTAACAAGATAACAGCTTCAGTTTTGCTTCTCTTTCTTCAGATAAATGCTATTTTCCAATCAGTTCAATGATTCAATTTCTTTAGATAAATGGCTATTTTCCAATCAATCACATTCTCAGAGAATAATACTCTCGACTATACAGGAAGATTTTAACAGAGCAAACCAACAGTCATTCAAATTTTGTGAATGCCAACAAATAAAATGCAGTAACCTTGGGCAATAAAATGCAGGAAAGCCAAAGCTGAACTAGAAAATGAATACAGAATATGCCATAGAAAGGGAAGCTGCACATAGTATTTTATCCAGCAGTTAACCACTAAAGGAAAATAGTAATTGCCCGAAATCCCGATTCTTTTCGATATTCGAAAGTTCAGTTCTATAGTTGAAAACAAATAGAAGGTTAAATACAACAAAAAGAACCACCTGACATGAAATGAAGCAACCGCGTACACAGGACAAAACCTCATCTTCTTCTAAGTATAGCTGATGAGCAAAACTATTACAAGATGGCAAATACGAACTTGAAAAAGAAAAATAACAAGGATGCAATTGGGAAAGTGGCTAAAGAATTCACCAAGGAGCAAGCATCGGAAGCACTTCCCAGGGGTCCACCGACGGGCGCCAATCCTGGAAGGGATCCGGTCGTCGAAGGCACCAACGAGGATCTTGGTGCCAATGTTCTGAGACCATCCGACTGAGGTGCAGGTGATGGTGCAAACATCGAGTCCCTAATTACCGAAGTAGGTGGTGCTATAAGCGGAGGAAACTGTTGTGCCCCTGCATCATGTTTTGGAATGCAATGCAGAAACAAATTGAGTTGATAATAAATAAAATTAAATAAATAAATATTTAAAAAAAAAAGAGTTGAATGAAGTAAATAAGCTACATCTCTTAGCACCTAAACTCAAGACTTTACATGTGAAGTGATAATTTGTTGATTTGCCAACAGGATTCTGTTGTCAACAAATACTCTGCTAAGAGTTTAAACAAAGGCAGTCATTTGGCACCTAACTAGAATGCAAAAGTTCGATAATTAATCTTCTCAATTCACAAGCACAACACCATTGGCTAAAAAAGGGTGAAAAAGTAGAGAACATCAACCAAATGCTTAATTATAGGGAGAGAGCAACACACTACAAAGTGAAATAATTAAGTTGGCAATTTCACAATGGGATTCAATCATCAACGGTAAACATAACCCAGTAAGAGTCCGAACAAAAGTAGTCTTTCAAGACCTAATTATATATGAACCAATCCAATACTCCATTGCTGATCACCTTAGCACCAACAACATCATTAGCAAATGGACACGTGTGTGTATGCAAATAGGAAGAGAAGGGCAAAGAAACTTGTCTAGAAAAAGTATACAGAACCACATGGATGCATTCATACTTGAAAACTTGAAATAAAACGTTTTTCTTGTGCACCTTCAGTTCACAAATATACAGCATTGAGGGACTATTTACCTGGGCAGCGAGGTTGAAGAGATGTAGACAGCCTGCAGAATAGAAATTAATGAGTTAGTATAAATACTTCAAAACACATACGAAAAGAAGAATTGAACAAGATAACATACGTTGTGACAATGGAGCCGTTCACGAAACCACCATAATTACAAGAAGTGACGTTGCAACCAGCACTACTCTGCTGTGCCGTGTAATTACCAACCATCAGGTTGCTATTTTTACATTGCATGCTCGAACAGGAAACCGCTAATGAAGCAGGCATGCAGTACAACCTGTACAAAGTTGCCCAATTAACTTTCACTTATTGTTAATATTGTTATTATTATTGTTATGATAAGAAACTAAAAAAACTTTCACTTATGTTCATAATCATTAACCAACATTAACCACAAGATCATATTCTAAAAATGGGACTAAAGTTCTTCCGTTACTTGAGATTTCCCGGCCCACAGCTGCATTGAACGCAGTGACTTGCGGTAATGGCATAGCTTCCATTAGGCACGATTAAGCTGAAATCAGAGGCATATCGCGGGAAGTTTGATGCACAGGCTGCAAGTGCAACACAACAAATTACCAGTATGGCCATTACTAATCTAGGTTGTCAGCATATACGCAAATACAAAAGGAAACAAAAACAATTAGAATATGTGAAACATCAACTAAGGAATAAACCCCGTATTTTTCTTTCAAATCTATCTCAACTAAAAACCACATGATCTCTCATGAAAAACAATGTTATATACAGTATCAGCTGCTGCAGTTATAACACGAATTTCTTGCACAAAGACCACCATCAAACGCGACAATAGAATTTGAAAAGTTCGCCTACGAACCAGAAGTATCAAAATAACTTCACCACAAGAATCACACATAATTTTCCGCAAAGAAGAAAGGTGGGAGAAAAAAAAACAAAAGACACACAAAGAAATAGCACAGAAGACGAAAACAACCACAAAATTTGGAATAGCTGAAAAAGAAAGAGCCCCATTGCTTTTCCACTTCAAAGTTTGAAATAACTAAGAGAAGAACCTCACTTTTCTCTTTTCACAGGAAAAACAAACAAATATAAATTAACGAATTACTAAATTGCATAACTGATTATGCACATTTCATGCACCAAGACCATCAAACAACAAGAAAACTTGGAAAAGCTTGCTTAAAACATGGAATAACAAATAACTTCACCACAAGAGTCAAAGATACACAACCTTATTCCAGATACGTAAATAGCAAAATTTGAAATGACTAAGAACAGAAAAAAAAAAAAAAAAAAAAAAAAAAAAAAAAAACCCCC